AGTGCTGACACTGTACACTGAATTTTTGAAGCAAAATTCTGTGGTAGCTCTCTGGCTGAAGAACTATTTTTTTTTTTTTCCTTCCAGATTAGGCATGGCTAAAGTTTCCTATAAGCATCTCATCAGAAATCATGAAAGGAAATTATTAGATTTTAGAAAATGGCTGTGAGCAGATTGATTATAATCATGCAGATTTTTTTTTAAAAATGATGGATGTGGTCCACTAGCTTCTGTTGGAGAAGGTGGCACTGCTTGTTTTGCAGGTTTATTCTACCTGCTAGTTGAGCCATTGAAATTGTTGCACTAGATTCTGAAAGTTTTCAGGAATTGTAGCCTGTTTTCAAATGTTTGTTCCCCTAGAGACTGGTATCTGTGTAGCTTTCAGTGGAATAATTGCAAGAGAAACAGTTTTTGCTAGTTCACCCCCTCCCCCCCCACATTTATCAGTTTCCTTAGACTGGTGGTGGTGTTTTTCCTTTCTCCCCCCCTTAAGTCAGAAGGGGTGATTTATAGTAGTCTAAGGTAAAACTTTAACAAATGCCTGGCCCTTATTCCACAGGGATTCTTCATAGTTTCATAGTTGGTAGGGCTGGAAGGGACCTGAGCAGATCATCAAGTCTGACCCCCTGCCACGTCAGGAAAGAGTACTGGGGTCAAACGACCCCAGCAAGGTGTACATCTAGCCTCCTCTTAAAGACCCCCAGGGTAGGAGCCAGCACCACTTCTCTTGGAAGTTGGTTCCAGATCCTAGCCGCCCTGACAGTGAAGTAGCGCCTCCTGATGTCTAGCCTAAACCTACCCTCTGCCAGCTTGTGACTGTTATTTCCAGTCACCCCTGGGAGTGCTCAGGGGAACAGGGACTCCCTCAGTGCCTGCTGGTCCCCTGTGACTAGTTTGTAACAGGCCACTAGATCCCCCCTCAGCTTTCTCTTATGGAGGCTGAACAGGTTAGGTCCCGTAGCCTCTCCTCGTAGGGCCTGCCCTGCTGCCCCCGATCATGCGAGTGGCCCTCCTCTGGACCCTCTCCATGTTGTCCACATCCCTCTTGAAGAGCGGCGCCCAGAACTGGATGCAGTACTCCAGCTGCGGCCTGACCAGTGCCACATAGAGGGGGAGGATCACCTCCCTGGACCTGCTTGGCCCCCAGCCTTTAAAGTGTGCTCAGAGACATGATGTAAAGGTGGACCTTGGCATAGCTTCTAGTGAAGGTGAGCCCATGGCTTCTTGGATTCTGGGACTAGGAGCGTGACAGCAAGCACCCTTTTGGTGTCTCTTGCTATTTTTTTTGTAATGTTGTTTATCTTCACTGAATCTGTTTGATCCTTGCTTCAGGGTGCACTCACTAGTAGAGAGATTCAGTGATGGTTTATAGATATTGCAATGTTATGATCTTATGTAACTTAACCATGGGATGGTTTAGTCAGGGATTTTCCTGCCTTGAGCAGGGGGCTGGAGTACATGATCTTTTAAGTTCCCTTCCAGTCCTACTGTCCTATGATCCTATTAATAGATGCCTATTTATCAGGGATCAGTTTACCTCTTAGCCTCCACCTTTTGCAGGAACTAAGGAGCATGAGCTCCTCCTTCAATATCTAATTTTTAAAGAACAATTTTCAAACTTCATATTGTTCTTGTACCTTCATTTTATAAACCTTGTCCAGGCTGTCAACATTCTTCTTGAATTGAATTGAAAGCGGTTATTCCTTCAGCAATCCTCTCCTTTCCCTACTTGAGCTTGAGTTCTTCTGTCTGTACTTGAGCTTGATGTCAAGGATTGCATTACCTTCCTGTAGCCATAGCTTTGCACTTGGAGCTCCCAAGGTTATCACAGGAATTTTCTATCCTATAAAGTAACGATTCTGAGAAGATATAGTCTCCTAGCCTGTTGATATGACCTATTCTTAGACTTTTGTTTTAATGTGTGACCTTGTATTTGACTATATTTAAACACAAGGTGCTTGACTGTGCGCTTTAAGTTTTACAAAACGATATATTTCACTGCTGGTTTCTCCAGTTGGCATCTGGCAGCTTTTAAAGAACCTTATTTGTGGGGGAAAAAATAAAATTGTTTTTAAGTTTGTTTTTTTTTAAATCCAGTTTCTTTGTGAAACTGATCAATCTGTGTTCACTGTCCAAACAGAAGGAAATGGAAGAAGTAAAAAATAAATAGAGCATATAATCAACTTGAGCTTTAACTTTTTGTTTTTTCCCCTCCCTATTTTGTCCATTTTAAATGGCATTTGTCTGATAAACAAGGAGCCTTTCTATGATTTTTGAGATCAGATTCCTATTTCTTACATTATGACAGGGTGCTGTTGGTCTTGAATATAAATGCAAAAAGACGGGAATGATGCAACTTTTGGGGAGGTCTGCTTTACGGTTTTGTGAACTGGGAGACAAGAAAAGTGGTTCGGAACTTTTGTTCTGTATGCAGTTGTAGTGCCTTGAACCCTAGTCAAAACTGAGGTCCATAGAATATTTGTCAGACAACCAAGAGACCTTCTCTTTCCCTCAAACGTGAAGGTTTCTGCATATGGTTTGCATATGCTGAAACCAACTGCTTGATTGTATGTAGGAATAAAATAAAAAGTAGGGGTCCTATGAGAACCATAGTCCTCAGTCATAATATCTGGAGTAAATAAAATGTTTGTGCAGCTGCAATTGGCATTTATCCCTTAAATTCCTGAGCTGTAAATATTTGGTGTATAAGAAGCATAATCGCATTGTTTTCCAGGATCTTGTATGATGCACGTCATTATGGTGTCAGAGTACCTTCTGGTAGAGTGTGTGGTGATATGACTGACATATGTAATGTGGCTTTCTTGTTAGTCTCCTTTCTGTCTTTTTGTGGCATGAGCTTCTTGAATTATGGGGGGGGGGTTGTTTTGATAAGATTCCTTTTTGTGTATATTGCTATCTTTCTAATACTGGAGAGAGGCAAAATCATAGACATGGACTTTTATACTTGGTGAGGTTTGTGAGGATCTTTGTTCCCAGTGAAGTTTTATTCCGTGTTCTTAGCCCAGCTCCCAAGAAAGCTTAGTCTCCCACACCAGATATACCTCAGCCCTAAAGTACAGAGCTCCAGCATATCTGAGGAGGCAGGTTGTCACTTCTAATCTTTACCAGGGAGCTTTTAGGCCATACATTAGGTTTCTTGGTCTAGGCACCAATCACTTCTGGAGATCAGGACAAGCTCTGAATTTTGATGATACTTTGTGGGGAAAACGAGCATAGGAGGTCAAGTTAGTGCTTTGTGATAACCCGCAGTAGTAAAAGAGTTAACGCTTTTTTTCCCTGCCATCTCACAAACATTTTCTCTGGCAGCTCCCATGAAAGCTTTTTGCACTGTAACTGATGCAGTCTACTCCAGCAAACTTCCAAAGACAATTTGGACAATGAAACCTGGGAATGTTTTCATGTAGGTATTAGGAAGAGTGTGATATTTGTCAGACTAACTGGGTTCAGCCTCCATCCTCCCTTCCCTCTGGAGTATAACACTTGAATGAATTTCAGTCCAATATATGCCCTACTGTAGGTATTCACATGCCATGGCAATGCCAGAAGGATTTGAAATGCTGCTGTAATGTAACACTTGCATTGTATTTTACAGTGTACTTTGTAGTGTGAAATGGAGGCACCCAGGTATGCTGTGACCTAAGTTCCTCCTTCATATTTGTATGGCTCAGAAGGGTAGACATTTGAGATGTGTGGGGTTTTTTTCCTCACTTTTCTTTAACCGTGTGTCAAGTTAAAGTTGCTCAGAAAGTGGGAAATGACAAAGTGGATATATTTTCTAATTGATGCAAAAGTTCCCAGGCAAAGGCAAAAAACAGATCAGTTAAATTGCTGACTTCCTTTTTTTTTCTTTTGGCTTACAAACAAAGTTCTCCATGTGTAAGTGTGGCATATGACCTGCCTGGTTCAGTTTTCCTGCTTTCAGAGGCATCATTTAGCATCTATATTGTAGTTAGTGACTTTTGTTTTACCCTGTGGAGTCTCTTTGGCTGTGCTCTTATGTATTCTTATCAGCTGTCTTAGATTTCAGCTTTGTCAAATTTCAGATGTACCATATTTTCATGGTGTTTCATATTCAAGGTGATTGTAAGTAATTCTAAAGTTTCATTTAAAAGCTTTTGAAGTAAATTTTATCATCAGTGGAACTGTTGTACTGTATGTGGGGTTCATGGTGATTTTGTCTTATAAAAAGAGCTGGATTTAGTATTTCAGTCTAACTTGACCGTAGGAATTAACCTGTGCAAAGTAATAACATCACAACAGGCTGTCCTAAGCTGCTTAATGTTATTGAGTATTTAATACATGCAAAATGACTTCACAGGGAAAATTACAAAACCTGCAAATAGACAAATAGCAATCACAAAGGAGAATTAATATTTAATAATTAAACAACGTTAAATTCAGTGAAAAATGCAGTTGCAGGTTTTTTTTAACTTTATTATTTTTATGCTAGTACACTGGCATTGTTAAAGAACATTTTGAGGCTAATACTGTTACATTTTTAGTGCATAATGTCCATATAAAACTTGGTTACAGAAAACAAATTTAATACGTGTATCTATATTGTATAGCTATAATTTTTAGCTACTATGGCTCTTAAACATCATATTTATGATGATAACTGTGCCGTAACATTAGCTCCTGGATTAACATTGCTCATTGTGCATAAACAGAAAGATAGACATTTGCTCAGTAGAAATGTCCTAAAATTGAATTTTTGGGGATGAAGACAGAGTTGGAGGCAGATTGTCTTCCTACTTGGAGAAACTGGGTGTTTAGGCTCTGCCCTTTCCACTGAGCATAGTATTTGTCACTGAAGATCCTACAGCTTAACTGTGTTTGGAGAGAGCTGCAGCTGCAGTGCAGCTTGGCTTTGTGACATAGGCATACTTTAAACTGCATGAAGCCTGGATGCCTTGCCTTGGGATTAATCCACTACTACTGAGAGACAGGATTTGAGGTCTCGCATAAAACGGAGAGGGGGCAACTATCAGCTTCCTGTTGTTTTGTTGCTTCATACCTGAAGAGCCAGCAGCTTTTTCTTTATTATGAATGAACAAGATTATGAGGAAGGTGGGCCAAGCTCGGGTGAGTCTGTTCTTTAAATACAAATGTTTTATATTTGACAGCTATTCTGACTTTTGTTGGAAGTCTAATTGAAGCTTCTTCAGAGTAGAGGTGACTTCTTAATTTTTTTAGTATCAAGGGTATGTTCCACAGGAGTTCAGTAACAATACTAACAACACTGTACTTGAGTTTTAATAACAATATTTCTTACATTACTAAATTTTTAATTGTAGTTAGCGTACTGACGAGAGAGGGTGATGCAGGATCAGAATCCTCTGTTACATAAAAGGCTTAGAGAGAGGCAGCTTAAGATGCCTCATTCTGCTTTTCCATATAATTTAAGTAAACAGCACTGGTCAGTGACATAAATAGCACAAGATAAATTAATTTGTTTTGCAGTGGCTGCTATTTTTAAATATTTGTTTACCTGGAATTATTTTTGTAAAATAATGTAACTTGGTTAAATTTCATGGGTTTATTAAAACCTCTTAACTGTAGTATACCTAAACTAACACATTTTTGCATGTGCTACTTGTAAAATTACTATACATCTTTCTGGAACAAACCTGTGACTGTTTTCTTAATATCTAGGCATGATGAGGAAGATACTATTGCAGTTTTGCTGTGAGTTTTTAAACTGACTCTTAATGTCACCTTTATTCTGCTTTAAACTACATTTTTAGCTTTTATTTTTTGTTTTTAAGGCTTTTAAAACAGAAGATACATGGGGAATATGATGAAGAAGAAACACCTGTGTTCAGTCTACAGATAGGTTCCTGTAAATTTGTTATAGAATAAGCCCTAATCCTCTTTTCTTTTTGCATAAAGATATAATATAGTATAGTGTATAATGTCAGGGTAAGAAAGTTAATGCAGCCAATTGCTAATGAAGAATTTGGAATAAGGTATGGGTGGGAGCTTGAAGGAGGACTGGGGGAAACTCTTGTATATTAACTCAATAAATAGGCTGTATAACAACTCCTATAAGTTTTGCTTAAAGCAGTTATTAAGTGAACAAAATAGTGTTTCCTCATGAGTAATTAGAATTTGAACAAAAATCAGAAGTCTCTGTCTTGTATATATCACATGTAGAAAGTGAAGCTGTCCCAATGGAAAGGTGCTATGAAAGGTCATATTCAAGGACTCCTTGAAAACTATGTTGAGGGTCAGAATAGAGTGATATTTAAAAACAAAAGGTAGAAAAATCTCTTGGACTCTTGTGAAACTGTATCCTGAGCTAAACTGCCTTAAATTACAAATCTGAGTCATGCTGATGAGTTTATACCTTATCCAAACAATGCCTGTCAGTGCTCTTAAATAGAAGTTTCTAGCTTTTGTCAAGGTAATGCTGCTGGCAGGGTTGGGGGCCCCACTGTACTAGGGGCTGTAATTAAAGACAAAGACAGTCCTTGTCTGGGAAGGCTCATGATCTAAAAAGCACAAAAAGGTGTAATGATAGTGGATGAGGCTACAACGTATAAACAAATGACACTGCTGAAGAGCTGACACAGCTCTTCTGAAATTGATTTATTTTGTCGTGTAATAATTGAAGCTTGAGGAAAGGAGCTGGTAAAAGAAAGATGAGGAGGGGAATGCTTACAGCTTGCTACTTGCATAGGCATGTCATCAGGTTGGATTTTGTGGGTTAGAGGCAAGCCTAGAGAAGGGTAGCCATATGGATTTTTTTGTCATAAAGCTTTTTTTTCTCTGCAAAGGGAGAACTTGTATATTACTTTGTTCAGCTAGGTAAGGTGGAGTTAGTTTTGAAGGAACTTGAGTTATGGACGAGAAGTATTTTATTTATTGTGGAAATAAAGGCTGAGTCAGTGTCAAATGGGGAATAGTGTGGTCAGCATGTGAGCAGACTTGAGTGGAGCAAGACCAGAAAAGTGAAGGCAAAAGTAATTAAGCCATGAAATGTGTAGGGCATAGATAAGAAGTCTGCCCTGCGTAATAAGGAAAGCTCTGATTTTTCTTTTTTTAAAAAGATGTGTGAGAGGGGGAGAGAGGCAAAACTTTAAGACAAGCTCAATATGTGCAAATAATGGAGAACCAAATCAAAGATGTTACCTAGAATCAACCTTGAGTAACTGAGGTGACAGTGGTGGTGTTCAGTATGATGGAGAGAGTGATGAGAGGAGGGCTTTCGGGAGAACACCAAGAACTCGGGTTTAGGTATGTTCAGGTTAAGACAGGGGCGGGCAGTTATTTTGGGCAGAGGGCCACTTCCTGAGTTCTTTTGGCAGGCCGTTGAGGGCCGTGTGACAGGCAGCCAAAGGCAGATTAATATTAATTTTCTAAATTTTTTTTTAGGGGCCCCGTGGGCTGGATAGAATGGCCTGGTGGGCTGCATCTGGTCCTCAGGCTGCATTTTGCCCACCCCTGGGTTAAGGCGACAGCTGGGCATCTTCTGGAAAAAAAAAGATGTTGGAATGACAGACTGGCACATGAGATGGAAAGGGGAGAGAAATTTAGAGACATTTGTCATGAGCAGAAAGGTGTCAGCCAAAGCATGTGTGTAGGTGAGAACTCTCAGAGGTAGGCTATAGAAGAGGAAGGACCAAGAGTTTCAAGTTCAAAAGACTTAGTTTTTCTGTTTTTCAGACTGACAGAAATACAGACTATTCTTTATCTAAGGTAGAAAGTCTAGCAAGAAGAACCAGTATCCTTGCAGTGGCAGATGGTGCCAAGTCACTTAATTTAAGTGACTACTGACTTCACTTTCATATAGAGCCAGGGGTTTTTTGAGTGATTGCTTTCCCCCCGCCACAGCAGCTTACTGACCCTCTCCAGGAGAATAATTACAGCAGCACAAGCTGGGGCAGGGAGGGGTCTGGAAATAAAGGGGTAGAGAAGAGTTATTATGTTGGTGCACTTTTCTCTCAAGTAAGGAATGATTCCCATGTAGTGGACATGACTACATAACAATTTAGTGCAACACCACTGCTTTGAAGGGTACTAACTAGGAAAACCCAGTTAATAAGGTGTTTTGGGGGGCTTTTTTGTTAAATGCCTAGAATTTCAGAGCCTTGAGTTAATGAAAAGTCTGGGCAAAGAAAGACATGGGCAGGCTCTGGCATTAGAGCTGTTTTCAGTGGGAGCAAATTCCAGGAGCCAAAGGTCTGTTACTAAAAATACCATGCTTCTGATTTCTTTTGTGATTCATCTATAAGGCTAGATAACTTCATTCAACTGGAATGATGTAACTGACATGGCAGGTTTGGTGTGAAAGGTACCTAGGTCAGTAGGGGCTTTTATATATGGTAATGAGAGAGCTAATTTTTCATAAGACGTGGACTGACGGCTAATGCCGAGTGTTGAACAAATGGTCGTGCAGCTCTGCTGTGCCTTAATGAAGTCTCGCAAGTGACATTCAGGTTAAGTTCTGTTAATCGGTAGTGTTGATTCTAGAACAGTGATTCTCAATCTTGTTGGACACAGGGCACCCCTTTGCTTTCACTTGTCTCTTGTCTATAGGAAAAAAAAATAGTAATTCTTTTGCTGCAAAAAAACTCGGAAGGACCCCAAGAGGTCAGAATAGTTTTTGACACTATAGACTTCTATTTGAAAGCTTTGGGTTTACCTTGTGAACTATGTAGGTATTGACACCTCAGGTGCTGTAGCTCTTTTGGTTGAGAATCACTGCTTTAAGTAAATACAGGTTATGAATAACTGAATAAGACTTGCTCATAACAAGTGGAAAGTCTACTCTGTTGAACAGTTGAAGATGGTGCAAAATGGCATTTTTTTGTTACTGTTGCTATTCTGAAATGCAGTTGCAATGATGAATCTAGTAAAATCTTGAGAAATGTAAAATACTTTCACAAGTGAAAGGCAGGTATCCAGCAATTGTAATGGTAGAAGACTTAATTAGGCTTCCTCTCCCAGTAATCACCAGTACTCCTGTGACCAGGGATGATCTTAAATTAACTGGTTTTTTTTTTTCCAGCTAGGAAATTGATTCATTGTTTTACTTCCAAAAATACTATCCATTGATAGCTGCTGAGAAGTTGCCATAAAAATTGCAATTTAAAGATTAACCTTAAAGTAAATGATCACAGATTTGACTCAGTTTAAATTAGAAAGTTGAAAGTAGGTCTATAAGTAGACAAGGTTTCATAGTTTTAAAGTAGTTAGGGGTCAGAAGGGACCTGAATAGATCATTTAGTCTAAACCCCTGCCACTGGCTGGAGCACATGCTGGGATCACATGACCCCAGACAGGTGTTCATCCAACCTCTTTTTGAATTTACTCAAGGTAGGAGCAAGGACCACTTCTCTAGGCTCTTTAGGTAAATGTGATATCTTTTATTAGACCAACTAAACCATTGGAAAATGTTCTTTGTAAGCTTTTGGGCACAAACACCCTTCTTTAGGCATGGGGAGAGTCTGTAATTGAAAAAGGCAAACTGAAAATAAGAGTAGTCAGTGAAATCTTTTTGATGTCTGAGGAGTTCAGGTACATGACTGCACCCTCAAATTGGAGAGGCATTATACCTGTGATTTTATAGAAATCCCTCTTTTGGATTTGTATGCCAAGCAAGGATTAGGAACTTGTAGGGAAGGGCTCTAGAGTAGGGGTAAGCAACCCCTAGCACGGGTACCAGGGCGTGGCACATGAAAGCATTTTGCTTGGCACGTATGCTTCAGGATGGATGGCAGAGGAGGCTGTGGTCCCACAACAAGGATTGGGCCCCTTGTGGCTTCCCCACTGTCTGTCTCCAACTTGCCAACATCTTGCAAGATGAGGTTGTGGGTATGTTTGGCGCTCTGCCCACAGATGTTTCTGACCCCTGCTCTAGTCTAGACCTTACTGAACAAATAAAAGAATATTAGGAGACAGCAGAGTGCCTACAAAGAAAAGTGGGGGGGGGGCAGGAAGGGCTGTTCAGCAAAGATTGCTGTATCTCGGAGATAAATATATATAGCAAGAATTGCCAAAGTACAACTAATGATTTTTTTTTAAGTTTAATGAAAATAATACGTTTGTTGCATATACAACAGCTCAAGCTGTGGTTCTGA